AGAAACATTTTGAAGTTCGATGAGTGAACTGTGACCAAGTATAAGTTGGATGAATAATGAAACAATGGTTTCGTTGAGTTGTCATTTTTTTAACCGTCGTAATTTGCCACGTCAGATTTCCGTTACTTATGTCAGCGAATAATGTGACGGATTTTTGAGGGTGATGGACGGAGTACAATCGGAGAAAGTTCAGTGAGCACTTTAAAGTTTAGTGAGTAGTCCATGACCATGGTATAAATTAAGTGATTATTAAAACAATTCACTCCATAATAAATTTGGATTTAATTAAAATTCGTTGTTAAAATTTGAATTTAATTTTAGTTTTATTGAATTTTAAAGAAGTTTATGAGGTGGAAATCGCGTTTCATATATGGTAAACGTTCCAACCAAACAAGTTATGTTTCAGAGTTTCAGTTTCAGATTGAAATCTATTTTGTGCACAATAAACGTTTGAATTAGAAAAATGATATTTCTAAAAGAATCATTGTGGACGCTTTATTGGGTTTTAAAGAAGTTGATAGGGACCGTGGAAGTCACGTTTTACATGTGGTGATTTTGGTGAGTTAAATTTTGTCGAGTTGTAATTTTTTTTAACATTTGTAACTTACCACGTGGAGTTTTTGTGAGAAGATTAAAAATGAAGGGAACAAAATATAGTGGATGATGAATGGAGTGCAATATTTTAAAGATGAGTGACTATTGTGAAGTATTTTGAAGTAAAATGAGTGATAAGTTGGATGAGTAACAAAATAATGGTTTCGTTGAGTTGTCATTTTTTTAACCGTCTTCACTCGTTACGCTAGATTTTTATTAGCAACGTCAGCGAATAATGTAACGAATTTTTGAGGATGATGAACGGAGTGCAGATGAATAAAGTTCATGCCCTAATTTTTAACCCCAAATCCGTGACAAAAATTCTACAATGGCGGATCAAGACTACTTAGCATACCTATCATTCCTTATAGAGAGGGGAATTAGCCCATCAGGACTCGGTGAATACTTGCACGCAGAAGACGGTGATGATGAAATGGACAGCGATTCCGTCAGACTGCCGCCAAATGATAGTCCTAATTCTGCTTCCGTTGCGACTTCGTCTGAGGAGTCTGTAGATGTTGATGATTC